CTCCCTTGGGTATTGTCGTTTCTCTATCTTTTTTTGCTTCTTGCGCTGTTCAACGTTGCTTGACATAGTCTTATATAGTCTGAGAACATGTAGCAGCAAGGAAGAGTTGGATATCTTGCTTTGATAATGTGATGGATAAATTTGATGGTCTAGTCGTTCATTTCAGGAAAAGGCCTTTATCTTTCCTCTTTGTTCAATGCCTTCTGTTGGTTTCTTTTTGTTTCTTTTTAAGCTTGGTTGTCTGATGGCTGATAAGATTTTTTGGACCTTGCATGTGAGACAATGAGATTTTGGAAGTTGTCCAGACTCTAACATGAGGAAATTAAGGCATGATTTGATATATATACATATAGATTAACTCCATTTTTATGTTTTTCTTTGCTGTGTATATGTCTCCTCTTTTTACTGACCATGGTCATGCTTTAGTTTCAGAGAACCACCTTAAGTGTCTTGGCATGCGTGCAATTTAATAAAAGTCCAAAGAGAGAGAGAACTTTCTTGAATGCTCTCTGGCATTTTCTTCCACTAACCTCAGCTGAATCATCATTGTTTTTTCCTTTTAATCACCAAGTCTATTAGATATTTGTTGATTTATCTCACAATTTCCTTTTATCTAAGATAAATTAGGATCAATGTCTTTACTTAGAATTTAGGGATACAAACTTAGAAATCACACCTAAAGTTTCTTAAACATTATATTTAATAAGTCTTGAACATCGTATACAAGGGTCTGATTGCATCATGTCACAAAAAAATTGAGAAATTCTGAAAGTATTTTTATTGAATAACTAAAGTATTTTGTAAAAAGTAAAATTAAAAAAATGTTTATAATGCTTGCCATGTAATCTTTCTCAAACAAGATAAACTAAAAGATAGTAATGCTAAGTAAATTGTGAAATACTACTAATTATGAAAATAAGGAACTAAATTCTAAAAAGGATAAAATTACAAAGTTACTAAATTATGATAATAGACTTCTAAATAGTATGGTATTTTTATATTTAAAAGAATTACAGTTTCTAATATATTTAGGCACTCAAGATTTAATTCATTCTACATTATTCTCCCCTATACGGAGAAAACTCATTCACGAAATTCAAAGTGATGAATGATGTAAAGGCTGGATCTTCAAGCTTCCCCATGAAACTTCAACAAACTTTGTGCTTGGTCATTCTCTTCGATACCAAATATAATGGATACATACAATTGTTTAGAAGAGTGAAATCCTGGCGGGAGGATGGAATCAAAATAGAGTTGTCTTTTAGAAAAGATTTTGAACAATAGGAACACATGGTGGTTCTTCTTGCTTCTCCACTTCAATAGGCTTCCTTTTTATTGACTGCAGGTACTTTTGGACATTTATATTTACTTATCTCTTATATAATCAGAGGTTCTAAAGGTAATCTTTATGGCAAATGTAAATGGATATGTATTGGTAGTCTCATCATGTTGAACATGTTAATCATGAAATCAAGGTCAACCTAGAAAAATATCTGAGAACATTATAGGAGCTATGTTACACAAGATTGAATCACTGAAGATACCATGAAATATAGAAACACAACTTTGTTAAATTAGCCAAACACTCTATATTATGTCTCCAAGTGAGTTTATATGGTCGCGCATGTAGTTGCGGTTGAAGGGTTGAGCCATTCAACTGTTAGAAGTTGAAACAACTTTTTTGCAACAATCCTTATGAATTACAAACTTCTTACATTTATTCTTGAACTAGAGTTTGAAAATTAGAAAACTCTTCTAACCTTCCTTCAGTTTCACTGCTTGTGCTTAGCTACAACCACAAGAGACTTGTCAATTGTATTATATATGATTAGTAACTCGTTATATTCTTTAAGATTCTACATGTTTAAAAATTTTACAACAACATTATAATAGTTGGTGAAGAGGACAGCAATAATTCTTGGGAACTGTTCTAAACCGTTGGGAATTGGTCTGGAAGAGACGGAATCAATCTAGGTGTTGGTTAAACCTGATTCAAAAAAGTCAAACAAGTTATGGTTTTGCAATGTCCACTCCCTGGTCATACATGTGTGGGGTTCAGGTGCCAGTTTTCAGTCAGTGGATGGTACAGGGCTTCTGTTAGTCCACTTGATGGGAGGTGGGGGTTGCAGCTCAAAGCTTGGTGTGAGACACAATTGCATGAATGAATGGGATCGAGGGAGGCAGTGACTGGAGAACTTGTCACAACTAGTGACTAGTTTCCTGATAGTCTCATGGCAGGGCTTCAGGGTTTGGTCGGTGGGGATCTTTGGTGGTCCTGATGGTAGGGCAATGTCTCTCATGGTCTAGCAAAGGCTGTGAACTTATTGGTGATTATTTTGAGTGTTTATGGTTTTTAATTAGGGTTTTTAATTAGGGTTTTCTAAGTTAGTGATTTTGGGTTTTTTGTTTTCGGTCAAATGGGTTTGGTTGTTCGATTGTGGGGCTTCGAGATTTTTTAGCTCCAACATTAATTGATATAAAAAAATTTAAGGTTGATTTATCTATTTAGAATTTGCAAATAAAAGCATAGATATCACAACTAGGTTTTTAGGCATCACATATAAGAAGTTTTAAACATCAAATTTAAGGATTTGATTGCATCAGAAAAATCAGAAAACTGACAAATTCTCAAAGTATTTTATTGGATAATTGAAGTTTTTTCTCAAAAAGTGAAAATACAAAGACATCTATAAAGTTTCCTAGCTAATATTTCTCAAATAAGATTAGACTCTAAATACTATTACTAATAAGATTAGGAAATATTATTGCTAGTAAAAACAGGAAAGCTGAATACTGAAAAGAATAAAATCTTAAAGCAACTAAATTATAATAGTAGACTCCTAAAAACTGCAATAATTTTACATTTATAAGAATTATAATTTCTAATAAACTTTGGTGATCTAAACTTCATCTGCTTTTCATCATTTTCTGCCTTTTCTTTTGTTTTCCTTTTCTCCTGGAATTTGAATATCCATATAGTGGGAATACATCTTGAAAATCGTTTTTAGTCTTATTCTCCCTTGTATTTTATTTTGTTTTATTTTTTGTTTTATTATTTGGAACACAAGTAAAATTTGACAGCATTGTTTTTAGAAGTTTGCTCCTTTCTCCATTGCATATGGTATTCAGAAATGTAGGAAGGCATGTTTGCTGGCTTATGATGGGTAACATACTAATTTTCTCTTCTCTAGCTTAGTTTGTAATACTGAGGTCCCATTTGTCGGCATTTGAATTCCTAAATTTTCTGCCAACAGGTTATATGATTCTTTAGAGTATGCGTACATATCTGGAGTGATATTTAGTATATGTCATTGAGAATTTAGTGAATTTGGAATGTTCTAAGAGATCTATGAGAAATTCTCTTTGACTATACGAAAAGGTATAGGTTGGAAAGGGGAAAAGAATCCTGTTCCATGGATTACTAGTAAAATAACTAATGATGCTAAAGATTTCATTACTTAGACCCAAAATAAGTAAGAAAATTTCTTGAAGCGATAAAGACCGAGGAAACATCCTACTTATTATTATTATTATTTTTTAAATTCTTTTAATCTCTCAATCCCTTGCTTATTAATAATAAATTTGATAATTTTTAGTTAGCTTTTTCTATGATGAATGTCGATAGTACACTTTTACAATAGTTAGGATACAATAAATGCATGCAAATAGGTTAATTAGTTTACATTATAAGCTAAGGGCCTTACATATTCCTATTTCCATTATTTTTACCTATATCTCTACAATTTTATAAGTGCATGTTTTGACGATAATCTCGGCTCCAATAGAATTTGTAATGAGTAATGTATTTATAGAATTTCTTGAGTTCCTATGCATCACTTGTGATAGATAATAAAAAGCTCAAATTAGCAATTGGGGTGTGTATGTTGTGATTATGTAAGCTGTAAATGTGGAGATGTCTCTCTTTTCTTCTGCTAAGAGTGAAAGGAACTTTTGCTAGTTAAAGATGAGTTAAAAATGAAAGTTTGTTTTGCTTGGTTTACTTATCTTGTAAACTGAACTTGATTGGAAATTTATTAATGAAATTATAGAGAAAATATAGGAAAATGAATGAATAGATTATTTCTGATCCTCTATGTAAATTCAAGGAGATTTTTAGATTATGGTTACTTACAAACATCAATTGGTTCAACTCTTTGTCAGGTTTGGTTTGCTCTTGTTTATATAGCAAGGCTAGTTATAGGCTAGCTGCAATGGATAAAGACACAGTTCTCCAACAGCAAAGGAAACGAACTATGGAAGCACTTGAGCGAAGGTTTGCTTCGGCCAAAGTTGAGGTTCTTCAACAACAGAAGAAGCAAAACACGTCAGTTGGAAGAACAGAAACTGATTCTGGGAATGCTTCTACCACTTCAAACCATCTAATAGATCCTTCAGCTAACCCACCCTCCAATATGTCATTCAAGAAAGGTCCTTATATTAGTACAGATTCTTTTAATCTTAATCACTACTTTTTGGTATGCATTGTCATTTATTGTTCTTATGATATGCTATCACTTTGGCCTTATGCAAAGAAAATTCTCTTTTTTGGTTGTTATTTCTTAAGATGCTAATCTGCTGGATTTGCCTGTAAATGACTTCATGTTTTCCTTTCCTTTCTTAAAGAGGGATTTTTCTGTATCTCCTAGTTTGATATAAATAAAAACAATTTTAGTTTGTACACAGATGCCGAAGAAAATCATCCTGCATATTCACAGCTTTCTCAACCTATGAATGATAATCTGCTGACAACCAACACCAAGGTAATTTTTAGATGTCTAGAAAAACCTCATTGAAGCCTCTTCTATTTGTCTGTCGCATTTCGCATTCCTTGGTCAAAAAATCTTCTTGATTCTGGACACAGAGTCTCCTTGGCATCAAGCAGCTCTCTAGTAGAAAAGGAACCATAGTTGATAAAATTCTGCATGATCTCCTTCAAAGCGGTGATTCAGCTCAAAGGTACATGCAGGGATCCAAAAGCTCGAAAATTGACAATTGGATTCTTCTTGATAATTTTGTACAAGGACGTGGTATTTCTACTGGCTCCCGAATGAGGGCTTTGCAGAGCCATTCAAAGCGGTCTAAAAAGCACATGTCCATGAGGCAACTTAAGAAGTCATGTGCTTTTGATTTGCCGAAAGATTTCCAGAAGTAAGTTGTTTGCCATGTATAAAGTTGATTCACTCTAGGAAGCAGACATGTATATTTCTTATCTATGCATATGTTTTATTCCCAGTAGCATACATGCGGCTCTATTGTATGGCTTCTTGTTCTTAATATTTCATGTGCACTCTTCTGTTATGATATGTCAGATTAAAAGAAAAAAGAGCCTAAAATTGTTGTCAAAGATTTAAAAAATTAAAAGTGGACTAAGAACTTGATTTGTGTATATGGTGCCACTTTGGGGTTTAAACTTAATGTTTGAACTAAATCAGCAGCATTTGAATTAAATGGAATTGGCTGATTTAACTGTTAATAATCACTTCTTTGTCGGATAGTAACCAAGGGGGAAAGGTTTACAAGATTTTTGGTGACTGTTTCTGATTTCCACACCAACTCTTTATTGGTCAAGTTTGTTTGTCTCTTTATTCTTTTGTTCTTGATAATACTGACATGCTGGTTATGTTCGAACTTTTTCACTGTTTATATTTAGTAGATTGAAGAAATTAAGGTTTAGATATTCTCTTGAATATTATTCATTTAAAAAAAACGACAATTCCCTTGAATATTACCAAGAGATGCTAGTGCTGAAATACATGGATTAAAATTATAATTTGGCCTGTGCTTCGTTCATAGGTTTAATAAGTTCGAGCTAATGCATGATATGTGGAAAAGTTATGTAGCACAACTTCTGAAAGCTGCTGGGTGAGTTATCCTTTTAGTTTTGCAGATCTCCCAATCAAGCATTTACTTTTGCATGTTTTATTTAAATCCAGTTCGATGTTTGGATGTGATAATTATTGATTCAATCTTGCAGGAAAAATCAATTATCTCTGTCTCTCCTTAACGCAGATCTACATGGTGCTATGATTCTAGGTCTAAGTATATTCTTTCTACATTATGATTCCATCTGAAACTTTTTATCATTCCATGCTTGTTTCTGAGTAAACAGCTCAAATGAACGTGAT